AAAAACTTAGTGAAAAAAAAAAAAAAAAAAACTCTTGTGCGGAATCGCCATATCGCGGAGTTTGTTTTGTTTTTGGTAATGTTGTAAGTCGCAAAAGCCAAGGTGGTCAGTCACAGTTACCCGTCGTCGTTGAAGAGTGCACGTGACGTTTGTGATGGAGAGGATCACCAAACTGCTCCTACTTCTCTTTTTTTCCTCCACAGCCAGCTTGCAAAGTATCCAAGACTCCATCACGCTGGCAAAAGCAAACTTGGCAATTTGCAAGAGTACATTATGCGTCCGAGATAGCACTTACAACCCGCCGGTCTGATCCACATATGAAGGCTGAGCAATGGCTAGCCCTATACCGTCTCCCAAGTTCATCCTCCGTGGGCACAAGGCCGCTGTCCATGCAACCACCTTCATCAGAAAGAATGAGCGGCTTGTGACGGGAGATTCTGAAGGCTTTGTGGTGCTATGGGATCTTATTATCATGAGACCTAGGGCTGTTTGGCGCGCACATGAGAATGCAATTCTGGGAGTACGAGGGTGGGGAGAAGACAAGCTTATCACGTAAGTGGCTCGCGGGTGTCCTTTGTGTCTGTTTTTTGTTCAGGTCGTTTTTGGGAAAGCATGGCTCGCTCACACTGCCGAAGACATGGTCGAGATCACAAACTTATTGTGTGGAAGATTGCGAGAGAAGATGAGAGTGGCTTAAGCACAGTACTGCCGTTGGATGGTGTGGATGTCGAAAGACGTCGTCCCTGGCTGGTTCATCTACTGGAAGTAAACACGATGAACTTTTGCTCATTTGCAGCTTGTCCATCAAAAGATTCTCAATACTCGCCGTTCCTTGGAACATGTCCCGAAATTCTGGTGGCTGTTCCAAATACCCTCGCATCAGAATCTGTATGTCTTTGTCCCTTCCCCTCGTATCATGGCGTCATACGCTAACATTGCAGGTTGATATATATACTTTGCCATCACAGAAGCGTGCCTACACAGTCCAGCCAGGATCAAAAAATGGTATGGCAATGAGCCTGTCCCTGGCTCACCTTGAGAAATGCCTGACCTTGGTCGCTGCTTTTGAAAATGGATATGCGTCTGTTCACCGATTGACTCCTGAGGGGAGTTGGGTCACGACATACAGAACACAGGCACATTCGCAACCCATCCTATCCCTAGACATTCGGCCAGACTTGAAATGCTTCTTTACATCGGGGGCAGATGCCATTGTTGCCAAACACCCGATCCCGACAGCCCCGCAAGAGATGGCCAAGCCATTCAACTCATCTGAGCGCATTATAGAAGAGACCGACGAGAACCCCAAACAAGGGAGTTCTCTTCTTTCGAGTGCCTTGACACCGGAATATGCAAAGGGGAAAGACAACGAATCTGCATCGGAAGAGTGGAAACATCCGAGAAGAGTAATCAATACGAAACATTCGGGGCAGCAGAGTCTCGAGGTTCGATCTGACGGAGCAATCTTCGCAACTGCTGGGTGGGACTCCAAGATCCGAATATACTCCTGCAAGACCCTCAAAGAATTGGCCGTTCTGAAGTGGCACAAAGACGGCGCTTACGCTGTCACTTTCTCTGATGTGGGACGGGAGACTTCACAGACCGCCAACGCCGACAGAGAGGCACAAGCCGGTTGCGAGGTGCAGCAAGCTGTTGACACTATTATTGATGTCAGTCGACTGTCTGTTCAAGATAGACGAGCTCACCGCGTCAAAGAAGCTCATTGGGTTGCTGCCGGGGCCAAGGACGGCAAAGTGAGTCTCTGGGACATGTACTGAAGCACGCAAAGCAAAGGCATGGCCCCAAAGGCAAACACTGCGATACGAAAATCACGGCCCATAACGTGGTTCACATGTACGAAACAATGCCAACGTCAGTGGAATAATACAGAAATGTCATAATTCATACTCCCCACTCCTGGCGAGCTCCCACCACATCCTTAGCACCCACGCGGTCACCAGTGCATCTCTCTTCTTCACGCTCATCTCCTTGGTAATGAACAGTTTGCAGCCTTGTGCAGAATTCAGCTCGCGGGCAAGAATCTCTCCCCGTTCATCCGACCATTCGTACTTGACCGCACTGGCCTTGGTCGACACTGCTGAAAATAGCAATCCCCGTACGACAACCTGGTGGTCTAGCCCTTTCGCAGCGCGGTGTACTCGGAATCCATTCGCCGACGAGAACAACCGAGGCCGATACGTGCTCATCCCAAAAGAGCACAGACTATGTCGCGAGACTGATTCAGCGTTGTACAAGAATACTGGACCTGTGATGATGCCTGGATGTTTCAGGTCATATATGTGGCGTTTTTGTGTGACAGCGTGAGACTGCGGTCCGGTTGACGAGGGAGATGGCTTGATGGTGGTGTCCAGTCTCTTCACGGTTATGCTTCTTGTTGTATCACGGAGATGGATCAGCTCACGTGATAGCTCATATAGCGGTTCTGTAACAGATTTATCAGAGTAGATGACATGGCCGCTTATTTGGAGAGTTGCCGGAGGGAGAAGATATTCCTCAGCGTTGGTGACTTCGCTGTATGAAGGTGGCTCAACGTCCATCTTTGTGGATTACTACTGCTGCTGCCAGAGCTTGAGTGGAGCTGTTGAGATCAATTCGGGGCGGCGTACTCGGGGTGTTATACTACTGCCATCAGTCGTATCCGGTCACAATCGCCGCGCCAAGATGTGGGATGGGCGGTTTGTCTCAGATCGTGTGGCTTTTGGTGCTCGTGACGTGGGTCCCGAGGCTTGGGCAGCCGCGATGTGACATGTCCAATAAACTGTCAAGGTGATGCACCATGAAGAATGTCTATTTGTCATTTGCACTCGGCTCTTGGCCCCTACACAGCCATTTCACTTAAAGACGGTTGCCCATGTTGATGTGGACGGCTTTAACCTGGCTGTAGGCCTCCAAACCAGCCTCACCAAGCTCTCTCCCAATACCGCTCTGCTTGACACCTCCAAAGGGAACCTTTGGATCACCGTCATTACTGCTATTTACCCAAACCATACCCGCTTCAATCTCAGATGCAACTCGGTGCGCACGCTCCAGATCTTTGGTGAAGACAGCAGCTCCAAGGCCGTAGGTGGAGTCATTGGCTCGAGAGATTGCCTCTTCCTCCGAACTAAACCGACTAATCACCACGACGGGGCCAAAAATCTCCTCACGGTAAATTCGCATGCTGTCCTTGACCTCGGTGAAGATGGTAGGTTCGATGAAGAACCCCTTGGTGTCAGCATGGAGGGGCTTCCCACCACAGACAAGTCTCGCACCCTCGGCCTTACCGGCTTCCACGTACTCGAGAACTCGCTCATACTGCAGCTTGGAAACTTGGGGGCCCTGGTATGTATCGGGGCTCCATTGGTCGCCAACCTTGCTGACCGTCTTGGTCTGCTGGACGAATTGGTCGACGAATTGATCATAGACACTGTCCTCGACCAGGATGCGCGACGTGGCCGTGCATATCTGGCCTTGATTGGACATGATTCCGAGGTGAGACCATTTTACAGCCTGCTCCAAGTCACTGTCTGCGAAGACGAGGAGAGGCGACTTCCCTCCTGTCTCCAGAGTAATGTTCTTTAGCGTAGCGGAAGCTATCTTCATGATGTGTCTGGCAGTGGCTGTAGAACCGGTGAAGGCGACCTTGTCCACTAGAGGATGCTCGACTATGGCCGCTCCTGCGTCCTTTCCATATCCACT